GCGATTTCACTCTCCGTTCAGCGTTGAAACTTTTTTATGTTTTTTAGTGTTCCCTCACGCCAAATCCCAAAGCCTACCCTCGAATGAAATGAAGTCCACTGTGAAATTTTCACAACCAGAAAAAATTACTGGGTCTTAGTTAATATTTTTAAATATGCCCCAATAAAATTTTCTCGCTATTAAATTTTCAATATGGGTCTCATTCATTCGAATGTTGGCTTTGGGATGATATAGCATGCAAAATTAACTCGTCTGTCTTAATCGAAAAGGTTTTTTTTTAAGTCAAAATTTGGACTTAAAAAAAAAATTATTCAAAAGAATTATTTAATTAATCGATAAAATGAAATTATATTAATCGAATAAAAATTGTTTATATGACTTGATAAAACATGTGAAACCTTTACAATTAATCGAGACAAAAACAAATGTAGTTGACTTGAATAACATACAAATTATTGGAAAAAACCATAAAAGAAATAAAACTAAAATGAAATAATAAAAAACGTTCAAAAACTTGAACATTAAAAACTTCAAAACTGTTTAAAGCTGATTGTTATCCTTTAGAAATTGTGTTAAATAATTTTTATAACTTGAATCGAATAATAAACTTGTAAACAAAATTATGATTTGTCTAATCATTCAAGTCAACTCTTTGAAACTTTGATTGCATGTCCTGATCAAAATTGTTTTTAGCAATAAAAGAATAAAATTCTATCATTTAGCTATGCAGCAGTATAATTGAATAATTTTAAAATTATTATATTACAATAAAAGGCTTTTAAAAGCTGCATTTAATTGACAATTCGAAAAGTCAAATTAAGTATTTTGAACATTTTGATCAAAACCAACAATCAATAATAAGAATGTACATGCAGTCAATATCGCTACAGGGAAAACACATGATTCAAGATACTAGAAATGCAATTTCAAAAATCAGAAATTTCAAATCTTAGAATAATAAATAAGAGGTGTTATAAAAAAGAGATTTATGTAACAAAGTAAGTAACTTGCTCTTTATGAATGGAAATATAAAATATATTTGCTGTTGAAATGCTTTCTGAAAAACAAACTCTTTAGAATAGAATGACCATTAAATTAGGAATGTGAAACACCATTAATTTAGGAGTGGTCTAAGGATTGATGCTAGAGCTCTTTTAACAAATAAGTAATCAATGTATACAAAAAGCTAACTAATAATTTAGTAACAAAATTTTAATTTTTGTTTTTAATTTAAGAATTCTGAATTCCACACAAAATCAGTGTCATAGTATCATTTATAAAACAAAAACACTTTTGATTGATGATTTAGGGAATTGTAATAATAAAAATTATTTTAAATGTCATCGAGAAGAACAGATTTTTCCTTCATATTGATTGAAAACATGATTTGCATTTGTGTAAATAGATACAAAAATTTAATCAAGATGTTTTCCCAAAAACAAATTAAATAAGAACATAGACTTTTACACATGTCTGCCAAATTAATTTAAATTTTTTTATTTGTATAGTAGTCGTTGAATAAACAAAAGATGAATTGTATTCTATGCTTTGGAAAAAAAAACAAATTGTGTACCTTATTAATAAAATGATATTAACTCAAATATAAACAATATTTTCAGCAGATATATGTATGTATAATAATAATAATTCACGAGCCATGAAATATTTCAGTAAAATATACCCAGGCTGCTTTAATTCATATATTTTATATATATAAATGATATCAGATAAGAAAGGGACAAGTTCTCAGAGCATCTTCCAATTAATTTTTCCATACAAAAAGTAGCATGTAATACAAATCCGGTCAGTAATAGTAAACCTTTTTTGAAAAATAAGTTATAAGTTATAAGTAATATCTTATTATTTATTTCTATTCAAATTATAGTTTCACAGAAGATGGCAAACAATATTGCATCAAACATCAAAGATTTTCAAATTTCAATACAGGTGCATTAGATGTATTACGATAAATGCCTGAATATAATATCAGAAATATATTCTTTGACTCGCATTGTATAAAACATGCTCTGCACTTACATTGTTAGTAATCCTCTGCAGAAGCTAGCAGAACACAAAACTAATAAATGAATCACCTTTGGAGCATCTGCCAGAAATCTCAAGTAATTGCCGCAAAATCACTTCTTTAAAACCACTACATAACTTTGTCTTTTACAAGTGTATTCGAAATTTTACAATTGTCTAAGTAAAGAACTCAAAATTGAATAGACTGATATGATGTGGAAATGCGCCATCATAACCTACATATTCATATATGAAATATACATTTGCTAATTGCATATATATATATAGATAAAGGATACATTAACACTGCAAATAAAATGATTAATTATAATATTGTTTCAAAATGGGGTTTCCTGAAAGAGATAATTATGACAATTCAAGGTACACTTCCACACATATCAATTTTTCAGCTTTTTACAAAAACGTTGCATGATATATTTTTATATCATATTGATCTACAAATTTAATTAAACAATTTGATGCACAACTTAATTAAAACTAATCAAGGATATAATTAAAAACTCTTAATTAACGCGATCGATATTCATTCACGAAAATCTCTTTTTGACAATTGAAATGACTTAAGTTAGCAAAATGACAGCTGACCCAAAGCGCGAAATTCAAACAGAAAATTTAATCTTTGCGAAAATATTTCTATTTATCGAAATATAAAGTCATGGATAAGGAAATAAAGTATAAAGTATTGTTATACGAAGTATATTGTTCAAAGTATTCAGTTAAAATTGCTTTATGAAATTATTTTAGCTCATTAATAAAAATTTGGTTTTAATTTTATACTTAAAACAAGCTGAAAATAATATAAATTATATGCCATTAAACTTATAATTACAATTACAATTACCTATTATAATAATTTATACAGTTATCAAAGACTCAAATAATTTTATAATATAATTTTAATTTATAATTTTATTTGGTTTTGATTACTATATTAACCATATGACATTAATTATAAATTTCAAAAAACAATTAAGTTGCAAATATAATAAATGCCAGCAATCTATTGAAAATATGTTAATTACTTGTACAGAATTGAATTTTTGATTGCTAATGCTGGTAAAAGTGCCTTTTATTTCTATAAATTTCTATAAGTATATACATATGTACACATGCATTTATATATTTTACTATTATTTATTATTATTATATTAATTTATATATATATATAATATATATATATATATATATATATACAAACATTTGATTTAAAAACTTAACTTTCGATTTAAGCACTTGATAGTGTGTTTAAGATTTTGCCATTTTGTGACTTATTTTTCCTAAGTTTTTGAATGATTCTGTAGCTGATCCTCTAGGAAGAGGTTGTGGTTGATCAGGTGAAGGTTTCCAACCAACTAAATATACTATTTGAAATGTTGCTGGCACTCCATTTTCCTAGTAGACGTAACATGTATAATATGAATAAAAGTAATAAACAAATTGGAATTCAAATTAATCAATTGATTTCTATAGAAGCTGATTATGTTAAAATTATTTTTATAATATATGAGATTAGCATTATTAAATGTAAAATTAAAATTATATTATATTTATTCGATGAAAGGAGTCTGCATTTGTTTTTTATTCAGACTCGAGAAATAGGGAAACAAAATAATTATTATATTTGACATACAAAAACATTGCGTTGGGCGACGTTTAGAAATATTTACTAGACTAAAACTACAAGCTTTGTGTAAAAAATATGTTTTCCAAATGAAGTTGTTCCTACCTTTCCATACATTTCTTTATAAATAGAAGATGCTGCTAGAAGTGTATCTCTGTGAAGATGCAAGGGCCTATTCCAAGCAGCATTATTTTCTGCCATACCTACAAAAGTAATTAATGAATAATAAATATTGTAATCAAAAACCAATTGAACAATTATGATACCTTTCAAATCATTGAGAAGCTCAAACATTGTAGGATATCCAACAATAATTTCATCAGTATCTATTGTAAGCATCACAAATCCCGCTTGAGTTAATAAACTACCTATGTCTCTCGCCTAAATAGAAAAATGTTTTATTCTTTTTTATATGAGAACTCAAAATTTATAAAATATATTCAAATTCAATTTTATACCATAAAAATGAAATCAATTTTAGCAACCTATTAAAATTTTAAGAATCTAGTTACTAGCATACAAAGTCTTGAAATTTACTTAGTGAGAGTTAATAATTTGAAAAAGGTAAATCTATCAAAGTATTTTGTTCCCGTATTGCATATTCCATGTGAGTAAATAATGTTCAGAGAATAAAAATTTGGTATTGAAATCAGAAACAAAAGATGATTTGCTTATTCATTTGCAAGTTCAAGCACTAATTTGATAATGAAAATAACTGAAATGACTCTTTTGTATGAATATTATTTTTAGCAATTGCTTTTATTCATTACCTCTGCAAATGGTGAAATGTGTGCTGATATGCCACCTCTTCGTTCTAACTCCGCCAATTGCAGTGATGATCTAAATGAAGTAAATTTATATTATGTATATAAGGAATATGTAATTTTGGTGTTGATTTATATATTTTGATAAGCAATGTTAATTCAGGCAGTAGCATCAAATAACTAAACTTTTAAGTGCGCTATAATATAATTTAAAAAGGCAATTAAAGATACAGAATTGGGAGAAACTGAATCGCCGAAAGTAATCTGCATTTATTTTTAAGGAAACATAATAATTTGTCGTACCTAATGTTAAGTTACGTAACAATAGAACTTTAGAAACCTACAGTTAAAACTAAATTTGTTTCACCCGCACCCATGTTCAGAATATAAAAAATAATACATGAATTTGCTTCTGAGATTGATATCTTTGGTCTTTCTGTGACAAATATAAAAAATCAAGCCAAAAAAATTATCCTCAAATGACTGTTTTAAGTAGTGATTTATAGTTGATTAAATGTTTAATATTATTAGTTTTTATTTAGTGTTATATATTTGTAGTTTATATTAAGTGTTATGTATATATACAGAGCTATCTATCTATGAACTCTCAATACTCTAATTTTCTCACATATTATCTTTAGTTTATAATTTGTACACTTTAAAATGTATTGTACTGTATTATGGCCTCAGGCGTTGAATAAATAAATAATGATATAGTTGGGTTCCATATTCTGTGTTTTATGTCTATCAAACAAAGCAGCTGCTCTGTCAAATATAGTTATTGAAAATCTCTCCAAAGCAGTAATAGCCGTTAAAAAGACTTTGCCTCAAAACTTTGCAGGCTTTATTGTAAACTGTGAGTGTACTTTTAACAATAAGAGTCATAAACATTTATATTCAGAAAAAAGCAATTTTTGCGCAAACAAACAAAACAGATCACATTTTAGGAAGTGATATCTATGGCAAAAATGTTGTTATACTTTCAGAAATCAAGATTCAATTTTTACTAATCACCACATTAGGTGGTAAGATTTACATCAAGCTACAAGAGGAATGGAAATGCAGAATTTTTTTTAAAACAAGCATAACAAAAATGCTTTTGTATTTATATGTATACGACTAATTAAGGATGACATTCTTATTTACCTTAGTTCATATAAAGTATCACCTCCTAATAGGGCTGCCATAAAAACTCCATCAGGTTTTAGACTTTTTAAAATTGATTTAAAACATCCTGGTAAATCATTTATCCAGTGCAAATACATACTCGATAAGACAAGATCAATGCTTGATTCTTCAAACTATAATGTGATTATAAGAAAAATAGTCATTTTCACATTTTAGGTTAATAATTTATGAAAAACTTGATCATATACATTTATACATGCAAATAATCATCCTGCAAAGTATGTTTTGATGTCACTAGCCCTTCCGCACAATGCGCCTGGTCCAGCATTTTTGGACTCATATCACACATTATAAGCTTTTCGATATTGTCATGAGACACATTTTTTGAAATATATCCTCTACCACAGCCTACAATTAAAAATTAATTATATATATTCACATGATAATTAGAAATTTTAAACGTTTACTTACCGAAGTCCACGGCAACATTAAAAGTTTTTTTAATATCAAATATACGATCAGAAAGTCTATAGCCAACTTCCTCTTTTAAGTAATCATAAACATGCACATTCTCATCGAATGCAGCTCTTTCTCTTTGTAAAAATTTAGTTTGTCGATTAAATATATTCACAGATTTGGTAGCCAATAAACGCGTTACTTCTATTAGCGGACTCTTTATTGTTGCATTGTAATTGTATAACTTATGAAAACTCCTGAACGCTTTAATATTGTTCACAAACATTAAACTGTTTATATTCATATTAGGGCGATTAAGCTCTTTTCTTTCTTCCCATGAAATAATTATTGCTTTTGAATTAATTGCAATTCAATAAACACCGATCGAACACAGTTAACCTCAATGTTATATAGTTTTTTTTAGAAGAAAACTATTTTCTCGATTTTTTTGTAATATGGTAACTTGGTAACTCTAGTCATAAATATTACATTAATCCTAGACAATATAACATTAATAGACAAAGTTTTTAAATCTGACAGTAGAGCAGAATTTTGTAATCATTAAAACAGTATATCGTATGGATAGGATGGATCAATGCCCTAGACAATATAATTAATATGGATATTCTATGAATTCTACCATAGATAATAATAGATAAGGCTCATCGTTATCGCGCGTCTTGACTAATCCTGTACATGGAAATATTTATTAAAAATCGAAATTTATTTAAATTTTGTATATGAATATATACATTAGTTATAATTAAAAATTCAACACATTCAATGTTTACTTATCTATGAACAATTATATTAAACAATGTATAAAACAGTATAAAATATAAAAGTTTTATATATATTTTAATATTTTTATGTCGTCAATATAAAGTATTTCAATTTTAATTCATTTTTGCTTTTTTGCCAATGCACTACGCAGTATTTATCCTCACAATAACAACCCAGATCGATGCTAGAGAATTAACAAACTGTCATTTGATATCGGCTCACTAGCGCCAAATTCTCACCTAGATATCGATACTTTAAACACGGTTTGTGAATGCGGATTTTGCACTGAGATAGAAGGGCCCGGTCCTGCATCTGAGTTTGAAGCTGTTCCATTAATATCGTCAAAGAGCTATGCATTTCAGAGCAATTCATAATGAAATTTTGTTAACAAATGTACAAACACAAACGAACAAGAATCACCATTTTGTCAACTGATAAACAGCATAAAACATTTGATAATACTTTTTCATCGGCTCACTAGCGCTAAATTTGCGACTACAAGACCTCTAATTAACCCTTCTGAACGCGGATTTTGTTCTGAGATAATAGGCCCTGTACAAGGCCATGGATATTTATGTTTAATTATCTATGGCTATAGATTAATAAACAAATAGATTTTTCAACAACAAATGCTTAATTTGTACGCTCGGGAAATGTATGATGACACACCATCATTTAGCATAGCTTTTTTCTTCAATTTCATGATTACCTCTATTTAACTTCTACTTAACTTAAATAAATTGTATTAATCATGAAAATCAAAAACTGTTTTAAAATATTCGTTTTTGCTTACGTGTTTCCATGGTGTTTCCCATGTGTATCGAATTGGAGGACAATCCTGGTTTATGAGCCATCTAGTGCTTTCATTTAGAACTTAATGTGTGACATTTCTCCGTTTGGATACACGTATGCAAGTCGTGTAGCGCCACGAAATTTTCTTTACACCGCTTTCGAATTTTACAGTAAACGTGTGTGTACTAGTAGTTCTCTTAAGTGAAACATTATAAAATTTCTCATCAAAATGTCAAATAAACAAGCGAACAAAGCTGCTTTTACTAAGGAAGAAGAATTATTGTTGCAAGATTTCAGCAGAAATGTGTCAACGAAATCTTCTGCCTTATTTTATGGAAATGCTTTCATAATTTCATCAATTCCCATTTGTAAGTATAAAACTTTTATTAGTGTACTTTAATACAAATATATTTGAAAAATCTTTTACATGCATTTTCATAAATCATATATTTTATTCAGGGTTATTTTGGAGAATTCATATGCTAGATTTAACTTCATCGTTAGTATGGTTTGCCTTAGTAACTGCTGGAAGCACATATCTTCTCGCTATGGCTTATTGTAACACAAAGTTCCAGCTTAAACATAAAGTTGCAGTGAAGAGAGAAGATGCAGTAGTTAGAGAAATGACTAAAAAATTGGCTGAAGATAAAAAAATGAGCAAGAAAGAAAAAGATGAAAGGTAATTACATAGAATTACTTAAACCGTAAATTATTTTAAAAGTCTAAACAGTATGATACATTCTTATTATCTTTTATATAAAAAATCACAACAATTTTCTTGCTTCTCTTAGTTAATTTTCAATAAATTCTTAAATAAGAAGTACTTAATTTGGAAATGTTGATGTCCAAATATGTAGTTTCATTAGAATTAGTCCAGACTGGACAGAAGTCCGCATAATAAAATAGACTGTTACATACTTAATATGAAAATTTAACTACAACAGTGTTTGCTCATAACTTTGGGTAAATTAGATATTCCTAAAGAACTTTAAGGTTTTAATTAGTGTTTTGAAACTTATTAGGCACTAATAAATTGTCAATTATTTATGGTGATCGTAAGAAATTTGAAAGTTTAGTGATATAAGTGTTTTATAAGCGAAAGACCATAATGTGTAATATTTACAGAATTCTGTGGAAGAAGAATGAAGTTGCTGATTACGAAGCAACTACTTTTTCAATTTTCTACAACAATGCTCTTTTCTTGGTGCTCGTAATTTTCAGCAGCTTCTATTTGTTGAGGTCATTCACACCTGCAGTGTATCCTTTATAAAAATATATTATATTTGCGTCTATATAAAAATTTGATTGGTAAGCTTTAGATTTGTTATTATTACAAATTATTACAAATAAAAACATGTGTATTTTAACAGTTCTTGCAATTTAATAACCACATTTGCCTTTGAAAAGAATTTGTCACATTTAATTTAATGTGTGTGATGTGTTCATATATTCTCGCTATTATCACGTGATGAAAATCAGTGCAGGCTAAAAAAAAATTTCTTTTTAACTATTCAATGCATCCTAATAATGATAAAAATTGTCATCAGTTATCATAAAAAGTAAATTAAGCTTTCATTTTATTAAGATGAAAAGATACTGATTTTATTAAAAAATGAAAACAGAGTTAGAACTGTTTATTTGTATTTTTCTATATAAGAAATGTTAATGTAAGTTTAGTGGCATGTTGTATAATTGCAATAATATCAATTTTTTTGCTAAAATATATACAAAGCTACTTAATGATAATCTTCAGATCCAATAGTTTTTCAAATTTGTTGAATGCCAAATATTAGATCGAATAGTGTGTTGTCTGGCTTTTAACAAACTCACATAGTGTTTTGAAACTCTTTTCAATAAAATATTTACAGAACTACTAAAAACATTCCTTGACTGTTTTATATAGTAACTATGTTCTCTCAGTTGGAGCGGCAGGTGGACTTTTAGCTTTATTATCTACTGGAACACAGTAAATAGTATTGTTTTTTTTTATATAAAATGGATGTATTTATTAATAATAAAATATTTTTTAAATTATGAATTTTTTTATACAAAATCATATATATGTTTTTAATTGAAATTGTTTTAATTGAAAGTGTTTGAAATTTAAACAGTCTAGTCTAAATCATAGGTTAATAACATAAAAGATTTGTTTGTCTGACTAAGAATATATTCAACTTATTTAAGAAAAGTGGAGGATTAATTTAAACTGTAAATTTTAGCCTTTTGAATTTCCAAAATTGCTTCAACGTTATCAATTGCTAATTATGACCAATTTATTTGAGAAATATCCATTTAAAAATGCTAATGGAAATTGGTAACTATCAATTTTCCAAGAATTTGTTTAGATTCACAATTTTGTTCGACGTCTGTTGAATTTATTTGCAATTTAGTTTTTGATTTTGGTACGTTTTATATTAAATCCGGCAGATTGCGTAATGTTCGCAACAGCAATATGAAATGTTCAAAAATAATTTAATTCAGTTGCCGGTTTTGTAGTAGTAAGTGCTCCTATAAATATGATACAAATTCTTATTAATTTTTGTGTTATTTCACATCGTGAGTTAATTATAACATTTCATAATAATGCATTTACCGTTCGAACGTAAAGGACTATACGTTCGAATTTAGTACGAATTCTAAAGGAATATTTATTCATATTTTTTGTAGCAGATGGTATATGTTTGTTAAAGACACTATTTTAAAGGCTAAACCTTTATCTAAATATAGCATCTGGTTAAAAAAAATGCAAAGTGGTCCCGTTTCTCAAGCAGTTTTTGACCGACCGTGCAAAATTTCGAAAAATGATTAAATTATGTAGTCTCAGTGATATGTATTATATTATTTGCTATAAATAATGATAAATAATTACTGTAAGTGAAGTTGAAATAATTTTTAGTTTTGTATTTTCGGGCAGTGCGGTTATTTCGACTAATTTGTTCGAAAGCCTAGAGATTTTGATATATGTGTGGATAATATTTATATTCAATGAATGAGAAGGAGACTTCATATTCAACAAGTGGAAAAAACCTGAGTAAGTACATCAAGTCATATCTAAATAATCTGGAATCTATGTTATTAATTACCGAATTCCAAATTAGCCATATAATGTCATATTATCTAAATTTATTGCTAATATTTACATAAGATTGTTTACAATAATTATTTCATTTACAACTTAACCATATTTGAATAGAAATGTTATTAAACTGCAAATCAGTAATCCACTTAATATTGATGCGTTACATAATTCGAAATTTGTTGAAGCAATATCAGTCATATTGCAGCAGTTTGCAGAAACATCGATCACTTTTGGAAAATATTCATTCCAGAATTCAAAAGCCTGAAATAAAAATTATTTGGAATTAATTAAATATAATAGAGTATTGTGGACAATAAATCCATATCTTATTATAAATCGGAAGGCACGATGTATACGAATATTTTATGAGTTTAGTTCTAATGATAGGGGGATGCAGCAATAAAAGTTTTATTATTTTTTGTGCATATCAGTTTATTTAAAAGCCATACGTTTAGCCCTAGGTTTCGTTCAGTGCAAAAATATTAAAAAGTTTGATGTTACCCTAATTAACAAATCAGAGGTCACCTGACCAAACCTTACACTATAATAAAATATTCATATTTCATATATGGTAAGCGACACAACATAAACAAAAAAAATACAATTATATATCACAAAGAATTTTTTTCAGTATGATTTGAATTTAATTTGTATTCAATTTTGAATTATCTTAACGATGTTCAAAATTTTTGAAGATTAAAAAAAATCAAATCGTAAAATAAAAATTTGGTCCTTATATAATATCCACTAATAAAAAGATTTTTTTATCAGTTACCAAATAATTAGAATTTTTAAATTTTATGCACAAAAGTGAACTAAGTATATACAACATTTAATTGATAACATATTTTTGAATATTTTGAATATATAATCGTAAGAATATAAGAGTATACCTTATAGTTCATAGTTGCCGAATGGCTCATATTGAAACTTCTATCAATGACTAGAAATCCTGGAGATTTTGATGTAAAGTTATCCCATCGGATATAAACACCCACTTTCGATGGGTTAGTGTATTTAATAAAGTTTGCCCAAAATATCATAACAATATCTGAGACTCTTTTGTCTGCGCTATCCCATGGCGTCCCATCTGAGAGCAGTCCCCAATAAGGGACGCCCCATACAAAGGCTAAATCGAGCCTATGGGGAACGCCAAGCCATTCTGGTAGTCCTGACGTTACAGCAACCGATCTTGGTTTTAAGTCAAACCTGTAATAATCAATAATCAGTCAATGAATATCGAAATCAAAATTATTTATTATGATGCCACAAAGAAGAAATGGCAATTTGATTAAAAAATTCTTATGTTATGGATGTTTTTAAGACAAATCAAAAACCAAAATCATATTAAATTTATAAAGATAATAGGAAAGCTGTATTATTCACACTATATATATCAAAAACTTAATAAACAAAATAATTCACCAATAAATATTAATAATTATCAAAGCCTACCTATAAGCGAATGTAGGAGAGTGCCTGCTACATAACATAGCAAAAAGAAATGATGGGGCACCGAAGTGTTTTTCGGTCATGAAGGCTATGTAACGTTTTCGAAGATCTTCCGGGTCTTCTGAAGGTGGTTGAGGACTGTAGAAAAATGACACCGCATCCACTATATGCTGATTATCTAATGGGCACGATTGATTGTCTGTCGGGGGCATTTCAGCTAATACAGTATCACCTGGAATTTATAGATTATTAATAGAAGACAGTATTAATGTTAAAGGGCATATTTTTAAATAGGTACAAAATCATAAAATCTGTCGACCTTTGAAATATAAATTTTATTAATTCGAGGTTTTATCAACTTCCCGAAGGAGAAGTTTATGTTTTCATCAAAAAATCCGATTCGCTAATTTTATGTTTTCTCGACGTTGTCAAGCCATTCTGAATCGAATGAGTCAAATTTGGAAAAAGTATGTGTGTATGTGAACAGATTTTTTGCCGTAAATCGACGTTTTCTCGAAAACGGCTGGGCCGATTTCAATAATTTAAAAGCCATTCGATGTATCTCGACGAGGACTATCGTTTGTCAGTTTTGTGCGACGATCTGCCAAGCCGTTTTTTTGTAATTTAAAAAAAAGTGTTAAACTTTTCGTCCACATTTAAGCTCATCATACCGAACAATAAAAAATCAAAAACTGTTCGAAAGATATTAGTTGGGAATGGTACTGATTAGTTTTAGGTGAAAATCTACCGAGCCGTTTTCTTGTAATTAACTGTTAAAAAAATTTAAGCCGATTTTTATGCAATTTTTTTAGCGATATATATCAAGGTCCTATAGAACTTACAGAAATATTACGGCCTTACGACAAGTAGTTTATTTTTAAAAATTCATCAAAGTTTGAGAGAATTGGTAGTTTTTTTGACGTTAGCTAAAATTAATTAGACGATTTACTTGGTATATCATATAGTACTTAGCAGTGGCGTCGGAACCAAATTTTTGATGGGTGGGCTCTGTTTTTTTTTTTTTTTAGATAGACAGCCAGTGGTCTTGTTTTTTTTTTTTTAGAGATATTAGCCCATATAATTTTTTGAAATTGATGGGTGGGCTGAGCCCCCCCATCAAAATTCATGGGTGGGCTCAAGCCCACGCAGCCCACGCGGTTCCGTCTTCATAAACATACTAAACCATTAAAATCCTACGGAAACTGGTTCAAATATAATAAATGTTGATTTTTGAAAAGTTGCTTTTTGTAAATACTCCGAATTAACGTGTTCGTTCGTTTTCAATTATGTGTAATAAATCCACTCATAAATTAATTTATTTTTTATTGATTAAGTCGATTATTTACACATATCGGGAAGTTCATGTAACTTGCCTCAAGGCTAAATACCAATACCAACTAGTTTTTATTAATATGAGAATGAGGTGTTTTGTTCGACAAAGAAACATATTGATATGCTAAAACATGAGTAAAACAGCCAATGCGTCGAAATAAAAACAAATATTTATTTTTGTTTATACGTTTCGTGACGCTTTATATATAAATCTACAAATTTTTTTACGTTTTAGAAATCCTATCGACTTGAAATTTCTGGACTTTTTCTAAAATTTCATTAGCTGTCGATCAATGAAAAAATCAGGACGACAAAATGTGTGGTCCAGCCAGACTACTCCGACCGTTCGAAGGTAAATAAATATCCGACCGACGGAGGGTTAATTAATTTAAAAATTACAATTGTTTAACACCTTGGCTAACACGTGTATACGGCTGTCGTTTATAGACAGCATCCACATCACATGACGAGGACCTTTGCTTCAAGGCTTATCACTGTGAGTTAAAATATTAAAAATACTAATTTCATCCTAATTTTTAGTTATTTTGAGGTGCAATTTGTAATTTTCAAATATATTTTTATACATATAACGACTGAAAAATTTTAAAATATGTTGTTGTGCTTGGTTCATTCAGTAGTACATACTACTAGGCGGCACCCTATTCCGTATGGCAACGTCACTCCAGCAAATAAAAACACAATTATAATAATTTAAATATTTAATTACACGATTTTTTAGAAAAATTATCTTGATAATAGTTTTCTATTTGAAACTATATTGAGTTATAAGCAACTGATATTTACTAATTATATAGTGATATTTTCGAATATCTAAAATCGTTGCTATTCTTCTAAATTGCGAATATTTGTGTAAATGATGGCAGGACTATTATTGGTAATTAGTGGTCATAAAATTGTATAAAATATTATCAACACATTTTTCGATTGATGTTGAACCTTTGTATGCAATAGTGTAGTATCAGGTTATTTTCTAACTAACCTTGCATCGTCAATCGATTTTCGTTTCGTTTTATGATACCGTTTTGACAGTTGTTTAGATATGATTTAGTTAACTACTAATTTATTACAATTAGACATCATACCTATACTTACCTAGCATCGATTCAAAATGGGCAGGGTCGATTCCGTTCTGATCTATTTCACTTCCAGCAATTGATAGGGCGTCTTCTCCGTCCGTGAACCCGATAAGAACGGGCACTTGGGTGAACTGACCGCGCTCGAACATGGCACGGGGGTCCTCTTGAATAAATGATATCGTTGAATTGCTTAAGCCAGCATCTAAAACTGGACCCCATTTTGTTACTCGGGCTGTTTGTTGTAATAATGTTGAAGCCTAAAAAGAAAATAATAATTTTATTATTTTTATTTTTGGTTGTGATTGTGAGAATTGATGTAATTTATTCTAAAAATTTAATTTTGTTCTGTATGAGTGCTAATGGTCACTACATACCCCATTTTTTGTATTTTCTAGTCAAAGAATGAAAATCTTATGATGAATGCTCCAGCTGAGAGCATCGGTGTGACCCAGCCTAAAGGGTGGATATTTAGTGATTGTTTTTGCAATATCTAAGAATATTCGTCAAACACAAATGTGCAGACATTCCATAGTGTGGAGATGGCTATATATGTGTTCAATGCTGGTTATTTTGAAATGTCCAGTACTAGGTGCCACTTTGTAAAATCATATTTTTTGTTACCAAAGTTTGATTGATAGTATTAATTACTGTTTAGCAAAGATTGCGTTTTTGTTAACTTAGTTTGATTTTTAACTTTGTTATCTAACATAAATCACAATTTAATAAACAATTCGTAAAATATTTTTTGATTTATTTATGAAAAATTTTAGGTGTCCGGCACTCGGAGACTTCCCCCTATACATAATTCACTTAATCAATTACAATTGAGATTTAGTTTTAGGTAAATGTTCACTGTATTTTAAAAATAAAATTTTCACTTTTACAAAATATTAATCAATACGATTTTCAATGACAGGCCAAACCGTTTCTTTGAAATTAGCAGAAAAGTGTAAATTTATTTTTCAATATTTTAGCCCAAAATCTTGAAAATTCAAAAACCGTTTGAAAAATATTGGTTGGAAATCGCATTATTTCATTTGTGGTAAAAATCGTATCTTTGTGAATAATGTTGAATTTTTTTTTGACTAGTCAAAACTTTGAGGCTAGATGAACCTTTGTACGGAGATAGATTTATAGTCTGTAATAATATAGTAAAATATTTTAGGTCTAGGATAAGCGGCTAAATGATAAAAATTAACCAAAATTATGAGATTCTAATCAGAATCTACGCCCTTTTGCATATATGCAGGTTCCGTGTTTCGTGAATAGCTACTGATTACAGTTTTATCTTAAGAACCCAAAGTGGATGAAATAAAATGTGTTAAACAAATTAATTTTATTTATATAATTTATATAACAGATTTTATAAGAGTGTTCGAAAGACATCAATTGGAAATTGATTAATATTTAGTAAAAGCGAATATTTTATTTTCAAAATATACAGTGAAAATTTTTCTAAATCTAAATCTCAATTCTTATTGATTAAGTGGATTACGAATACATATCTGTAAGTTTTTTTAAAATTTAATTTGAGTGTATAATTGAATTCAAACGACTTTATTATTATAAATTAATATGATACGGTAATAATCGTATAAATTAGATTTTCAATAATAAATCCCCAAATAAATAGTGAAAAGGTAGAATATAATTTTGTGATTATCTCAATACAATACAATGTAATAAAGAAATGAAAAGAATATTTATAATCCAAAACATTTAATTTGCATTGAAGCCCAGCCTAACTGAATTATAAGAAATTTGTAATGAAAATCTACTGCTTTTCAACATGTTGATTGAGGAGGTCTTCAGACCTATACATGTTTTATTTCAAAAATAGTTTCATTTGAAAATTGTAATTTAGTGACGGCGGCAAAAAGTGTTCTTTGGATCCTGTCATATGATGGGATCCAAAGAAGGATATCCTTAGTGATTCTATCTATAGGAATCACTAACTAGTTGGTTCTACTATGCCGCTAAATTGAGGATAGATTTATAATAAATGTGATACTGTTATCAGCGTGTCAAGAAAGAAGAAGAGGCATGTTGACACACTGTCGACGCCCGCAGTCAAGCTCTTAATTCTTATTTTGAAAAATCTATTCAAGTACGTACTTTCAAATGATATTTAAAATTTCATATAATGATCTAAATACTGTATGTATGTCTTGGCCGATTTATAAATTTAGATTAGTGTCTGATTCATTATTTTGGATCAGAGTGCATTCATTAGTGATAATCCCATCTAATGTGCATATTGATTGATCCTACCTTAACATTTCGTAAGCATGCTATTAGATTATCAGTTGGTCTTCTAAAGCAGCCGAACAGATAAGCGACACGATTTAGTGTGCGCAAATGCCTCTTAGGATCCTGAACCGTTCCTTCCGTTAAAGCGTTTCCGCTCATCGCAATGATTCGATGGAACATGCCGTTCGACCATTCACCCGCCGTCATGTGCAATGTGGCGCTCACCGCACCAGAACCGTGCCCGATCAGGCAAACTGAATCCTTGTTGCCGCCAAATTGTTCAATATTTCTATTTACCTACAAACAGTAAAAAGATAGACTATATTTAATAATATATTTAGGTTTTTGTGAATACATATTTTTGGTGTCTATTTTTATACTCGATTTTGAACTTCTTTAGGCGCAACTAGGCTGTAAATCCGTGCAAATGCAACGGAAGTGCGTTACGGCAGATAAGATAAGAGTCGAGTGCCAATAATTCGTCATTCGCTCTCGACAATATCATTTCTATACGGGTCGATTGTGATTAATCGTCGCGTATGTGAATAGAGATCTGTCGTTGTATCCGTACTGGCATCAACGATATATGCGTGCCGATATCAACAAAGAAATCGGCATATATAAATAAACATTTTAAAGTTACATCGTAGTACAAATCTTAATTCAACGAAAAATGCCCGAAGCAGAAAAATATTTTACCCTGTTTCTTGAAAATATAGATTAATAAGATTAATGATTAGTAAGTTTATCGATTACAAATTATTTCTAGATTATTCGTAGTTTCTATAAATCTTTGAAGTTATTGAAATGGAAAATATTTTTTGCAAAACAGATATTACAGCTGTTCAAAGAGTATATCGCCAGCGAAAAAGTGAAAAAAATACCATCAGTCAATGAATGTATGTTAATTTTAATTACATGAATTTGTTTAGGCGTTGCTTAACATAATCCACAAAATTGAAAACGAATATTATAAAAGTTATTAATTAGCAATTACTTAATTTCTCTAATAAAGGTTCACTTCTAAATGCTAATTACAATGACAAACCGATTTTTACATGACAAACTTTAATTACATATTGTTTTTAAATATTATACATATTTTTAATGCTATTATAAATATATAATTTATAATTTATCATTATATAAATGTGTAAAATGGTTGACACTAATAGATGTGTGCATCACGAGTGTTACCATATTACTAATAAACATTAAACAAAATTATTTTTTACTTAAATACCACTTGTACAGTAGCAAATAAGTTTTACTTCAATCGCGTGTGAACATTACGCGCACTCTTTTTTTTATTATGAAACTGTGTTTACAATCCTGATTAAATGCACCTACTTTAGCTGATTTTTTTTTTTGAAGCAGAACCTTTCAAAGTCGACCAGTTTTGCAAATTTTAAATAGACAGTTCAACAAATAGTCTTAATTTTAGAAAACTTAAGACAGAATTAATAAAAATTAACCCCAATAATAAAAAAATGATCACAATTTTACAAAAGCTCTATTTTGTCTTATATCTTGTATGTCTTAATCTTATATGTATAAATATAAATCTTTAAAAAAATTTATTTGACGTTAAAACATATTATTTAATCAATTAGTCGACCATGTTTAGAAATAAAAAATAAATTTATTAACAATTTTACAGTGTGAAAATTTGCATAACTAATTGGAAGATTTATCTTTTTATTTGTTTATTATTTTTGTAGTAATATTTATCAAAACTTTTAATTTTAATTCATTTGAGATTAATTCGAAGTTATTTTTTTTTTAATTTTTTAAATTCTTTTTTATTCTTCTTTCAATTCAAGTAAGAATCTCATTTAAGATTTATTTTGAAAACAAAAACATTTGCAATGTAATTAACGAGTGTGCGTAGTTTTCCAAAGTATTATTATTTTCATTATATGTACTTGTTTCCTGAGTAATTATTATTTTTATAATTACTCAGTTACTAACTAACCCATCTCAATGCTGCAGCTTGATCCATGAGTCCAAAGTTTCCAGGAGCTTCTCCATCTACTGTAGTGAAAAATCCAAATATACCTAACCGATATGCCACGGTTACTACTATGATCTTTTGCTTGAAAACTAATTGGAAAGGATCGATATCATTTGCACTGCCGCTGATGAACTCTCCTGGATGAAACCAGACTGCAACACTGTAGCCATCCGATGGCGCTGGACCTACGAAAAAATCAAGAATATGATACACATAATTGATGAACATAATTGTAAGTATTAAATGAATAAATTTATTTATTTGTTGTGCCGATAAATGGAGAGGCAGTCTCTACCAGCGTGTAATGTACACATAATCAATCATGATTATCTTGATGAATCGACAGGATTTTTTTCGAAGAGGGTAAATTCAATTATATTTTTATACTCATATTTCAGTGCAATCAGAATGTTCTATGAGCTATTAGGCTGAAACTTCTTTATACTTCGTATTTTTAGATGGAAACCCAACTGTTTATCCATTCATATTTTATTATTTTGTTGTTAGAACTTATCTACTAAAGCTGATATTTTATTCAATTTGTTGTAGCAATTTAGGCAAAGGTCTTTTGCATTTGCAAGAATATTTACGATCTATATTTCCAAGTAAAGTAATTGATATTGCTGCATAGGGTTGTTTGTGATGGGGCAGTTTTTCAATGAAAATCATTTCATTTAGCAAAATATTGAATTTATCATATGTTGATCACGAACGAGCACGACATTTTATATTTACATTTTACGAAACTTAAACGAATAAATGCAATGCATTGTTTTAAAAGATTTCAAAACAATACTGCGTAATGAGTATTGCATATGATGTGTAGTGTTAGAAGTATCGAGGCAAAAGATCGATATTGAGTACTTTAAAAAGTATCTAATCAAAATATCGATGCCAAAAAAATATCGTGGCGAAAGTATCGATAGTACTCAATATCGAATTTTGAGTACTTTTAATAAAAAAGTGCAAGAAAGATCTAAAACTCGTTAAATATCATATCACAATATTAGAATGAATTCTATTGCCTGTATCTGATGTGTTAAATCAGAATTAATTTCAATATTGTAAAATGTTAACAATAATTTTTCAATACTAATTTCAAATTCTATACTTCTTAAAAAAAATACAAGTTATAATAGTGAGTATTTTTGATTAAAACAATATAATAGTCTGATACTATATTCAAAATGCAATTTTATTCATTTTAAGTATTTTTAAGTACAATAATATTTTTAATATTTTTAAGTAAAATAATATTTTATAATTGTTGAACATTTTTATATGAATAATTTTAGCGAGCATGCAACTTTAAAAGCCGTTACATGTGTACATAAAAGTGCAATATGAACCTCTTTGAAAAGCAATAAACATTCAGTTTAATGACGGCCAAAATAATATTTCGGCACTTGAAAAACATCCCTTCGGAGCGATGGGATTTAAAGTTTAAATGGTTCCGAGAAACTCAAACCCATTTGTTTGCATGCTGATATTCAAAAATTTCAATACATGAGTATTTTGCGTAAAAAAGAATCGAAATATATTATTTCGAATAATGATACTCAACCATTTCAATATATTAGTATTTGCGTAAAAAAGAATCGAAATACGAGGTGTGTTCAAAAAGTACCCGGAATTACTAATAATTAAATTTCGCGGGTCTGGAGTGTCTGATTGTCAAATTTTTTTTTTATTGTGTTGGTATACATGCCCCTAAAGTATGATGAAATTTTCAGCTATATTCACTGTTTACTTTGTCTGTGGTAGTCGCTAAGGTTCGACGTGTTTTCTGAGCTCGGCGATTTTTACAATGGAAGAATTGAAAAGTCAAAGAATTTGTATTAAATTTTGCGTAAAAAAATGAAATAAAGTGTTGCAAAGTGCAAAAATTCACCAGATATGGCTCCGTGTGACTTTTTCCTATTCCCAAAGTTGAAGAGACCCATGAAAGGACGGCGGTTTTCCTCGATTGAAGAAAATCGCTGAGAGTGCTCAAGGACATATCAAAAGTGAATATCAAGGGTGCTTCGAAAATTGGAAAAAACGCTGGCATAAGTGTATTATATCTGGGGGGGACTACTTTGAAGGGGACCACATTAATGTAGACGAATAAATAAATATTTTTTTGAAAAAACGAAAATTCCGGGTACTTTTTGAACAGAACCTCGATAT